AAAAAAATGCTAAATGTCAATTTTTTCAAACAGAAACCCCTTATCACCTTTCTTAATAAAAATAAGTATTGTTTGTATATGATAACCTACTTTACTATTGTTACTTCTTCAGGAAATATTTGCAGACTTGTCTATCTTTTTATGATCGGAGTTGTGTGACATTTTAAAAATAATGTAGATATTTGTTCTTAGTAAGACTTTTCACACGAATAATAAAAAAGTGATTAAAATATTCGTGTTTCTTGTTCAGCTACCGAGTCCAAGTCAATTTATAAAGGTTTTCCATGCAGCAAATAGCGCAACATGCAATTAGTAACGTATGCACTTATGCAGCACTGCAGCTATAATTCTAACCCTATCTATCTATACGTGTTTGGAAATTAATTGTGCACACACGCGATAGGCTAATCGACATAGGGCCGACATGGCAGTGAATATTGCGCGGACCACCGAGGTTCGACACCTCGAAGTGTTAGTTCATTTTTCTTTTTTATGTGTAAGCATGCAGCACATATGTCAAAGACATATATTATGACTCCTTTTACATAATTCACCACGCCATAGCCAACCATGCTGAACTGGCTATAGAAAAAGGTATATTATGGACTGTTAAAAAACGAGTATTTTTTACTTCCTAAACAACGAATTTGCAAAACAGATAACCTTATGCAAAACTATCCTTATTTTAATTGCTTAAGATGATGAGAAATATCGATTGAAGTCTACAAAGACGACTACAAATACTCGTACAAACATATACGAACATTCATAGACTTTTATGGATTTGTATTTGTGACTATTTACACAAAGTTTGACATTTCTCAAAATTTATCACATGAGTGATACCAAAACCCCAAGTTTTCATAATTATGTAACATCAACTTTACAAGTCATCTATCCTTACAGTTCCGTATGGGCCACCACGTATATTTTAGCTTTGTTTTTATTTTTATTAGCAAATGGTTATAGTTCACCTACTGTCAAACTGCCAAATGACAGAAATGCTATTATATTCTTTTTACAATCGGAAACATACAGTAAGAGTGTTTTTGGACTTCAAAAGGGCGTTTGAGACTATTGACAGGAATAAATTACTTAGAAAATTGCATCACTACGGATTTAAAGGATCTGTATTCAAAATTCTACAAAACTGTTTAATTGACAGAAGTCAAAAAACCAAAATTTTATCTACATTGTCAACATCAAAAAATATTTCTGTTGGTATACCACAAGGTAGTAAACTAGGTCCATTACTATTTATTTTATACATTAATGACATTTGTAATATTTTAGATTATTGTAAACTTCAGATATTTACAGATAATACATTAATATACATATCAGATGAAAATATAGACATTGCTTTAAAAACGCAATATACTGACTTGGCAAAAATCATAAATTGGTTGAACGTAAAAAAACTAAAATTGAATACTTCTAAAATAAAATGTATGCTAATAGGGAAATACCTAAATGAAAATATACTAAGTGACATATAAATCCGAACACCCAGTTTAAATGGTTTTATTTTAATAAAAGTTGGTGAATGTATTTATCTTACTGTACGATGCCTAGAGTACGGAGACCTGTACGATTTCGTCAACTTAGTGAGTTTGATAGGGGCCGTATAGTGGGACTTCGGGAAGCTGGACTTTCTTTTCGGGCAATTGCAGTTAGAGTGCAAAGAAGTGTAGACACTGTGGTTAGGTGTTGTCAGGCATGGCTTCGAGAAGGCCGTACGCAAAGAGCAAGGGGCACTGGCCGCCGCCGTAGAACAACAGACCGTGAAGATCGCCGCCTAAGATTATTGGCCTTAAGGGACCGTTTCTCCACTACCAGGTCCACTGCAAATGAATGGTTTGCAGAACACGGAAAACCTATTGGCAAGCGAAGTGTTTACCGACGAATGAGAAGTTTTGGCTTGTTTTCATACCGGCCACACTGGGTCCTCCCTTTAACTCGAGAACACCGACGTAATCGCCTTGAGTGGTGCAGACAACGGTCACTCTGGGATCAGGAATGGAACGGTATTGTCTTTAGTGACGAGTCTCGATTTTGTTTAGGCATGCACGATGGTCGTGCCAGGGTTAGAAGGCGACGTGGTGAAAGGAGGAATCCACAGTTTTTTGTTGAAAGACATGTTCATCACACTGTTGGAGTTATGGTTTGGGGTGCTATAGCTTATGGTTCCAGGTCACCTTTAATCTTCATCAGAGGTAACATGAACGCGCAGCGTTATATCCACGAAGTTCTAGAACCCCATCTTTTACCCTATCTTGACACCCTGGCAGATCCAACTTTCCAACAAGATAATGCACGACCACATGTTGCAAGAGTCACAATAGACTTCTTTCAACATAATGATGTCACATTGTTACCATGGCCACCAAGATCTACCGACTTATCCCCAATTGAGCACGTGTGGGATATGATGGGTAGGAGATTGCTCAATTTGCAACGTCCTCCTCAGACTCTAGAAGCACTTCGAGAGGAGTTTTTGTTGCCTGGAATGAGATACCACAGGAGGACATTGACCACCTGATCAGAAGTATGCCTAGGCGCGTTAGAGAATGCGTAGTACATCAGGGTGCATCCACACATTATTAAAGGTCAAAGGGCTTTAAAGCAGTGCAATAATTTTGAAATTTTTATCATTTACTTATTATGCTTCATTAAATACTTATACAAAATTTTATTAAAATAAAACCATTTACACTGGGTGTTCGGATTTATATGTCACTTAGTATATGTTAATGCTTTCCAATGAAAAGAGTAGCGAGGAAACTGAAAAGTTGCCAAAGATGCATTTTTGAAGCACCTTTAAACTTTGAGCGCGTCTCCAGACCGAACCGTTTGACCTAAGACCCCGAAATTTCGCAAAGCCTCATGCCTCCATAGACACTCTCCAGGAAGAATTTTGAACCCAATCTGAAATATGACTCGTCAAACCATGTCGTGTAATTTTAGTCTTGACCCACATTCTGAATTCAAGCTTCCCTTCCCCGATTTATGTAAGAAGTAGCTTCAGTATACATCAATATACATACAGGATGTGCCAGAAGTGTGTCCTTCAGCAGCAAAAATGATCGGGGAATCTTCTGTTATTAACAAATTCAGCTGATTCCGTTATTCTGTCGCGTAGCTCAGCAAAATTTTCAATTGTCTTTGAGTAAACTTTGTCTTCAACCGCTCAAAAAAAAATCGAGAGGATTTAAGTCAGGTGAACGGGTTGGCCACGAAATTGTACCACACCGCCCTATCCGTCTGATTGGGTAGCTGCATCAAGATATTCTCTAACTCATTGATTAACAAAGTGGTCTATATCGACCCCTAGGGGTCTATAACAACCTGCCATGGGTCTACGTCAGCGAAAAAAAATTTGGGGGTCCATGAAATGAATATGGGGTTCCACGATAGTGGATCTCAACACATACACTGATAGTACCTATTTACTTACATCATACTATACTACTACTTATAATATCAAAAATCAAAATATTTTCTCAGTTCCCCAATTTGTCACAGACAAGCTGCCAGGAAGACGACGTTTCAACTTACGTTCAACATTTAAATGGCCTTTATTCAGATTTTGAATCTAGGTTTGAGGATATTTTGACTATGGTAATACCACCGTGGATAATTAATCCATATGGTGGCATAGAAGAAACGAATGTCATAATACAAGAGGAACTGACTGAACTAAGTACAAACGAAGAACTTAAGGTTCAGTTTAAAAACGGATATCAGCAATTCTGGCTGCAAAACAACATACTTATCCCGTATTATGGAATATAGCGAGGAAATTTTGAATTTCCTTTCCATCGTCATACCTAGTGGAAAGGGGGTTCAGCGCTGTTACCAATCTCCTAACGAAAAAAAGAAACAGACTGGACATCATTAGCCGAGGAGATTTAAGATTAACCCTTACAAAATTGACGCCAAATGTTGATAATTTATTATTAAAGCATCAGGTTCATCCTTCTCACTAAAAATATCGACTTATTGCTTATGTTATTTTATTTATAGTTTATTTTATGTTTATTGGTGTCTGACCAATAAATGCCCGCATTGGGAATAAGTGCTCGCATTGATTTTTTTAAAGAACCCCCCGTTATAAAAAATATTTTTTTTTTATTATTGTGAAAATTCAAGGAGGTACACACTAAAATTCGTTAATTTTTTGCCTATTTTTAGATAACTTAAACGTATAAGAAGCGGAATTTAATCAAACTAACAGCGAAATTATTGTAGAACATACGTTTATGTTATAATTAATAAACGAACTCGCTTATTGTACTATTTTAAGTAAAAAACTTTTTTTTTATCATTTCTCACTTTTTTTTATTTTATCCCTCTTATTTTTTTTCAATGCGGGCACTTATTCCCAATGCGGGCACTTATTGGTCAGAAACCTGTTTATTTAATGTTACGTATATTTTACATAACAGTTTTTAAAATTAAACTTCACTACAGTTAGAAATTTACAGGAAATCAATATCAGGTAAGTAGGGGGTCTACCCAACACGGAAAAACATGGCAAGGGGTCTACGACACAAAAAAGTTTGGGGAACTCTGCTCTAACTGAACAGCCACAGTACACTGGCCTTGCTTTCACTACGTAGAATGACAGCGTCCGTCATTCCGTCTAAGAAAAAATTGACATTTGTCTAATTAGAACTAAAAGATTATCATAAGTTGTAGGTTTTCCCATTCTTCCGATTTCTTCGGAAGCCTATTTTTATGTTGTCACAGCCTATCCCCTGTATGTATATGGTATCATGTAGAAAAGTAATTAGTGGAATTCAGAGAGACCTTATTTATAAAAAAAGAAATGCAACAGATTAATTTGAAATCCGTATCGCTCACTCGCCAACCTTGTCCTGGATTGACAAGGGAATTCCAAAACTGAAATTCGCAAAGACGCATACAGGATTAGTCATGTGATTTTCGCGAGCCGTCATATACGCGAATGCGATATGATGATCCGCGTATAAGAATCGGTAAAATCAAGCGCGCCCGGTCAGTGCGCGATGCTCATCTGTTCTTGATCGCCAAGGGTCAAGTGTGAATTAAAAAAGTGTTTTCAGATACTGCTATCGGAACGCGAGGAGTGAAAGTACTAATTGTGCTTTGATATATGGGCAGCTTAGCACTTGGATTTGCATAACATATTGGTAAATAATTCTCAAATATCTGTAATTTATTACATTTAATTTTTACATTCAAGTTCACCCATATCATTTAGATAGGGGTCAGTAACTAGCGTGGGATGAAAAATCTGTTTTTATGAAAGGTAAGACAGGATTTTTACTATTAAATGCATCAGAATAAATTATAGTTTGTAAAAACTAAAAAAAAAAAACGCTTCGACTGCAAATCGAAATAAAATGTAGAAAATAATTTTCAAGTATGCTGCCACAGAAAGAACAACAATCAAGTATGACTAATTAATTTGAAATAAGGTCAATATACAAAATAATACATACAGGGTGACGAGAAAATAGATTCGGAGCCGGTGGGGGAGATAGTACAAGCCAATCTGAGTCGATTTTACTATAGGAAGTACTGTCCGAAAATAAGCCGTTTTCGAATTATACTAATTTTTAAGATTTTATAAAATTAACGACCTTTATGCGTTAACCAAGTCATAAAACTTGAAAATTTGGTGTTTCATTTGATTTTTGTTTGTTTTACAATAAAAATATTCTAAAATATGAAAATTGATACGCAAATGTACATTATTGACGTTATCTCATGCAGTAAGCTTCAAAATAGTTCGATTTTTATTAAAAAAATCTTTGTTCACCTCAAACGCTTCAGTTTACTAGAAAAAGTCGCATACAAATTTTTCGTACAAAATAATTAGAAAACATCTACGTTTCATTACCTTTCAAATGGGGTATAAAAATCACAAATCGATTAAGAATTGGCTAAAATATGACTATTATAAGAGGAGGGAAAAAGCAATAAAAATACTACAGTTACAAAATCATATCTTAATACAGGATAATTTGTTTGAAACTACATTTTTTTATTTTTATAATACATTTTCAATATGGCGCCCTCTATTTCTAATGCACACACGTGCTCTTCTTATGACAGCTGATTTTACTACCGCCGAATTCCTAAGAGAGGCTTGAATTTCTTGGGCTGCATGTATTATCCTGTTTCTGAGGTCTTCTATTGTGGGTACAGGATCAGAGTATACTAGTGTACATGTTCATAGGTGTCAGATCGGGACTGCGTGCTGGCCATGAGGTTGGTCCGCCTCTGAAACAGTTTCCGAATTGATGGATCGGTAGATTTTTTTAACAAAAATAATAATAATGTACATTTGAGTATCTATTTTCGTATTTTAGAATATCTTTATTGTAAAACTGAAAAAAATCAAATGAAACACCCAATTTTCAAGTTTTATGACTTGGTTAACGTATAAAGGACGTTAATTTTATAAAATTTTAAAAATTGATATAATTAGAAAACGGCTAATCTTCGGATAGAAGTTCCTATAGTAAAATCGACTCAGATTGGCTTGTAAAACCTGAGGTGCCTGATCTTAAATTTATCGTCTAAGTTGCCATTTACAAAATTGGAGTTATTGATAACAGAATCCCTTCAATCTGCATTTTTGTTGATTTAAAGAAAGCTTTCGACACAGTTAATCACAAATTATTATTAGAAGCATTGGAGAGAATTGGTTTCAGAGGAAACGCGTACTCACTGATCGAAAGTTATTTGTCAAATCGCCCACAATCTGTGCAGGTATCAGGATCATTTAGTAAAGAAATGTATATTAAGTGTGGTGTCCCACAAGGAACTGTCTTAGGTCCGCTGTTATTCAATATATATTTAAATGATATTTTCCAAATTAATTGTGTTGGCAAAATAACTAGTTTTGCAGATGATACTGCAATATTTATGAAGGCACTGACTGGTCTGATCTGAAAAATGTAATTGAAAATGATTTTATCAAAATTATTCGGTGGTTTAACAGTAGAAAATTAAGCATTAACTACTCTAAAACACATTTTTTACCATTTGGATCTTATGCTAGACATCTGCCAAATTACACAAATTTCTCCTTCAATATTAATGATAAAAAAATGCAAATTAATAGAGTGCCCAACATAAAATACCTTGGAGTGGTCTTGGATCCTCACTTACGATGGGACATCCATGTCAATTATATTTTAAAGAAAGTTAGATTTGTATCCTACAAAATTAAATACCTTGGGAATATATTGACAGAAAAATATCTTCGAACATTATACCATGCACTGATTGAGCCTCATCTCACATATGGTATATTAGCATGGGGAGCTGCATGTTCCTCACATATCTATAATTTAGATGTTTTTCAAAAAAGTATTCTAAAAATGATATTTAAAAAACCGAAACTTTATCCCACTGAAAAATTATACGCAGATGTTCGAATGTATGATATAAGACAGCTTTATTTGTTACACAGTATCACTCACTACCATAAATTTGTAAACACCGACCAAAAAATTAAACATAATCATTATACCAGGTACAAAATTCGTGGCACAGTAGTTCCTCAACCGCATAAATCTATAATGCAGCGATCATATCTCTATTTAGCGCCTAAATTTTATGAAATTATACCTAAAGACTTAAAAGATTTATGTTTCGGAAATTGTTTCAAAAGATATTTAAAAAAGTGGCTACATTCTATATCTAGGACTGAAATTCATAAACTCATAAATACGAACATCAACTAAATACATAATCTACTGTAGCTAATTTTTGTCCTTTTTTGTCATTTGCATTCTACAGTTTCAACTTAAATTTATTGGTCCATGTACAGGCGATGCCTTCTATTGGGCCTGTTTTGATTTTATATTTATTTACTCATATTGTTTGTTATCTTTGTACATTGAGTGAATAAATATTATTATTATTATTATGAAAATATAGTTAATTTCACCCCACATTTTTTTTTACTGTAATCGAATGCTTTGCTAATCTCTAATTTTTTATATTACTCCAAATTGACTAGTCACAGTATCGTAAATATACCTGAAAATTATTCTCTACTTTTTTGGTACTCGTAATCAAGAGCTTCGATTTTTGGTATATTTCATATTTGACGGTAAATAAAAATTTACTTCTAATTTTGTTTCAAATTTCGAAATTTCCAAACTTTTTTCAAAACACCCAAATTTATTTATAATTCTCTTAGGCGGAATGAGAGGATTGAAGTGAAAACTAAGAAACACGTCTTAGTTGCAAATCGAACTAAAAAGTGGAAAATAATTTTCAGGTACAGTCGCTATACAGATTAATCTCTAACTTGAAAAAACATTACCTCCTCGTTCATAAAATTGGAATGATTATCTATCCCTGATCTATTTAAATTTAATTTAGTATGTTATATTCATAAGCTGTTACTTACCTCAATTCCCCCATCTTTTACTACAATTAAATGTTCTGTTCTTTTTCCAAATTGACTAGTCATACAAAGTTGATTCTTGAACTTTCTGTTGAGGTAATACAAACACTCCTACCAAATACTTGATTATGTTATACTTTTTGTTTCAATTTGCTATTAGCGTGCTTTTTAGTCTTTTTAGACTATAATTTGTTTTCTGAATTTTTAGTCTAAAACAGACAACAAAGAGCTTCGACTTTTAGTATATTTTATATTTTACAATAAAGCCTAATTCATTTTTTTCAAATTTATGATACATATGATGATGCGCTGAATATATTGAACTTAAATAATCTATTTCAAAGGCGTATGCACAATCATTTATTGTTTATGTTTAAATTATTAAATAGCCAGACGCTGTGTCCTGACCTCCTTAAGAAATCTTATTAATTTGAGAGTGGACCTGTTATTTACGTAACCTCATCATAACACTAATTATACAATGCACTCGCCTGCTGAGAGGACACTGAATCTTATAAATATACTAAGTGACATATAAATCCGAACACCCAGTTTAAATGGTTTTATTTTAATAAAATTTTGTATAAGTACTTAATGAAGCATAATAGGTAAATGATAAAAATTTCAAAATGATTGCACTGCTTTAAAGCCCTTTGACCTTTAATAATGTGTGGATGCACCGTGATGTGCTACGCATCCTCCAACGCGCCTAGGCATGCTTCTGATCAGGTAGTCAATGTCCTCCTGTGGTATCTCGTTCCAGGCAACCACCAACTCCTCTCAAAGTGCTTCTAGAGTCTGAGGAGGACGTTGCAAATTGAGCAATCTCCTACCCATCATATCCCACACGTGCTCAATTGGGGATAAGTCGGGAGATCTTGGTGGCCATGGTATAATAATGTGACATCATTATGTTGAAAGAAGTCTATTGTGACTCTTGCAACATGTGGTCGGGCATTATCTTGTTGGAAAGTTGGATCTGCCAGGGTGTCAAGATAGGGTAAAAGATGGGGTTCTAGAACTTCGTGGATATAACGCTGCGTGTTCATGTTACCTCTGACGAAGATTAAAGGTGACCTGGAACCATAAGCTATAGCACCCCAAACCATAACTCTAACAGTGTGATGAAAATGTCTTTCAACAAAAAACTGTGGATTCCTCCTTTCACCAAGACAATACTGCTCCATTCCTGATCCCAGAGTTACCGTTGTCTGCTCAAGGCGATTACGTCGGTGTTCTCGAGTTAAAGGGAGGACCCAGTGTGGCCGGTATGAAAACAAGCCAAAACTTCTCATTCGTCGGTAAACACTTCGCATGCCAATAGGTCTTCCGTGTTCTGCAAACCATTCATTTGCAATGGACCTGGTAGTGGAGAAACGGTCCCTTAAGGCCAATAATCTTAGGCGGCGATCTTCACGGTCTGTTGTTCTACGGCGGCGTCCAGTGCCCCTTGCTCTTTGCGTACGGCCTTCTCGAAGCCATGCCTGACAACACCTAACCACAGTGTCTACACTTCTTTGCACTCTAACTGCAATTGCCCGAAAAGAAAGTCCAGCTTCCCGAAGTCCCACTATACGGCCCCTATCAAACGTAACCGATCGTAAAGGATGTCAAGAACCAAAATCCGCCAACGTTGATTCTTTACTGCAGCTGAAATATTCATTTTTAAAGCGTTAGTGAATTAAAAAAAAAGCAGTATAAAAACCGGAGTGTCCAACTGATAAGGCTGAAAATTTTTTCACTTGCTATTTACAGTAAGAT